AGGCGGGGCTTCGTTCAATTGAGCGGCCATATTGAGCGTTGCATTTTTCCCCATTCAAAACTATATGAGTGACACATCTTGGGTATTCTATAGTCTTTGCTATTGCCATTACAGGAATAAAATACATTTCACAATTTCAGCAACACATTACAGCAAGCAACACATTTTTTACTTCACGCCACAAACACAATACTTTGCATCCCTTACCTTGCGCATGTTTGATTGCTCTTTCTTTGTTTTTAATTTATAGACAAAGGTTCAGACAGGTCATTCAGTGGCACCAATTACCACTACGCTATTCTTAAGATTGCTACATCTATCATATGCTTTCAGCTCCTAAAAAGTGCAGCTAAATTTACAGCCAACACCATCCATTTTCTCCAACCGGCTATAGCCCAGGTGAGCAAGTGCACACTCCATCAGTGACAGGCTGGAAGATACAGCCGTTGTTAAGTCCTGCCTGAGAGGACGGCATCGTGTTGCATGGGGGGCTGGGTGACCATGACATCAGTGTATCCCGAGGCTAATCAGCTGAAGATCAGGGACACAGGTGAACACATGTGAGAAACAAGTCTGGGAGTGATACTCTCACCTGCCTCGGGATATGCATTGCAGGCTTAAACATTAACTCCGTTTTGATGGCACGAGCAAGCAGCACTTAGGTCAATGGATCATTACTACGTTTGGAAGAATGGAAGAATGTGAAAATAACTAGTCTTACAACTGACAGCTGAAAAAAAAAATACTCAAGCATGTTTGCACATGGCTAAATAACCACTGTGTAAAAAGCAGATAGTGCACTTAAAAGGTATCATTCACACAAAAATTACAAGTCACCCTTGTGTTGTTCAAAAACCATGACTTTCTTCTGTTATTCTCAGAAAATCTTCCCCCTCCAGCGCAGCTCTCAACTATAATTTGTTTCTGCGCAGGGTTATTAAAAACGAAATCTAAACCATTCATTTTTTTTTTACATTTTAGCTAAAGCTACAGTGCTAAAATAAATAAAACAAAGATGAAAAGAAAAACTATGTTGTAAAAAGACGACAACATGGTTCTGCAACAATATAAAGCTGAGTATGAATATATATGAATGAATATAGTTGTCCTTTTTGGATGAACAAACAGCTCTGTTTGCACCAGAATACATTGCTGCTCACTTGGTTTGGTCAGTCAAGCTTTGACAGAGCATGAAAGGGAAAACTACATTGTCAACTCATGACCTCAGAATCTAGCGGCCTTAATGACTCTCCATTGAACACTATGTTTATACCCAGCTCACATTGCACACTTGTAGCGGGGCTAATTTCACTTCCCCAAATGTTTTTCCAGAGGTCTCCTCTAATCAATCTCTCCAGCCCACTCTCACATTCAGGCATTTCTCTCCATTTAGACCCAATCAGACTGACTGATGACAGCTCACTGCTCATGACTAAGAATGTAAAACCATAATTTTATCAGTGATCAGTGAGCTTTCTTCACTAGACTGTTGATAGACTAGTGAAGAAAGCTCACTCTCACTGATAAAATATGAGGGAAATGCATTGGCTAATCACTGGAGATGACTGATTGGGTTTGACCTTATTTACGACTTTTTTTTTTTTTACTGAATGGACTCATGCAAGGGAGGATATGACATCAGAGGATCAGCAAGACAAAAAAGGGCTGAGAAATCACATCAGAATGGCAAAGGTATATCAATAGTTCAGGGAGACTAGTGAGACCAATAAGTAATGCATGACATGACACCACCAGTGTTTTGATTTAATATTTTTAGAGTGTTATATTATTCTTTAATATTGTACATTATATTATAAAATATATAGTAAATTAAAAATATAACAAAAATAATTCTCTCTATATTATAATGATAATTCTATTATATTGCATTATAAGTCATTATTATCACACTGGTGTTTTTCCCTCAGCATTTAGACAGGCTCGTATAACCCCATTACTTATAGTGCAGCTATTATGCCATTTTAAGGTTGCTAATATTGTTTTAGGAGTCTCCTAAAACAGGTTTACATGCATGCAAGGTCAAAAAACACGTTCGTTTTCACAAAAAATAGATTTAATTTTACCTAATTTCTAAATGATTCGTAAACGACTCGTGCAAAGCAGTTCAAAGAATCAGTTTCTCTAAACCCCTCCTTTCCGTGAGCCCTCACTACTGTGATTTGTCAGATGGCGCAGTCCTTTGTGATTGGTCCAGAGCCGTAGAGAGACTGGCTCTGGATTGGTCTACCGCGTACAGCGTGTGTCGGAAACAAAACACCCATTGCCATGACGGAATGACAGCCCTGGAGACTTGTCAATACATAGAAAAGATGATGAAACGGTTGAAGTGGCTGATTGACAAGAGACTGATTCACAAGCACGACTGGAGCAGGACGTTTCTCAGTGGTAAGTGTCAAGTGTTAACAAGTTTGTGGTAATTATAAGATGTGATCAAACAAATTTACTCTCACAGCGTAGGATACAGCATCTTCTCGACATGATGTTAACCACACGGACATTTTACTGTTTGTGGGCGGGCAAGTTGGCGATGTAGAATGTGGGCGGACATTATGCAAATGTGTTACTTCATGACGTAGAGCCGTAACAGAATAAGATTTGAATTCCTGACGACTCGTTTAGGCCATTACGAGCTGACTCTTTTTTTTTTTTTTTTTGATAGACAACTTTATTTATCGTGCACTGTCGGCTTCACAACTTTGCATATAGTTTATGTTCACATACAGCTACATGACACACTGCATGAAAGGTAATATTCGAAAAGGCATAATAGGTATTATAGGTAATAATAGGGGCACTTTAAGAAACCCATCTCTTCTAGAGAACTACAGACCGGTTTCCCTTCTTCCTTTCATTGTAAAAACACTTGAACGAGCTGTGTTCATCCAAGTCTCTGCCTTTCTCACACAGAACAACCTCCTCAAAAGCAAAGCAACGTGTGTATAAAATATAATATATTACTTTGAAAGAAACTTGTATGCCCCTCTAAGCTTAATTAAAAAAAAAAATAAGCTGAGATTTAATTGTATAACACTCAAAAAAAAGTTTCTTCCTAAATTTGTTATTTAAAAGCACCACCACTACAGCCATACACATGCACACAGAACTGTGAAATGTGACTGTTTGTAAAAGAGAGAAGAGACACAGACTGCCCTTGGTCAGGATGTGATGGATAAGAGTTGTCACTGTGCAACCACATAAGGTCAGTGCTCAGCACTGTAGAACCACAGAAGGGAAAAAAAGTGTGTGAACTGCATATGAAACAAAACATGTGTTACAAGTAGCACACGGTGTTTATTGCACAAAGCAACATTTAACAAGTTCTGACTTAAAGGGGTCATATGATGCGATTTCAATTTTTCCTTTCTCTTTGGAGTGTTACAAGCTCTTGGTGCATAAAGAAGATCTGTAAAGTTGCAAATACTGAAGTCTCAAATCCAAAGAGATATTCTTTATAAAAGTTAAGAGTCAGCCACGTCTACCTAAAATGGCTCGTTCTAACACGCCCCCACATATCTACATCACTATGTGGGAAGATTTGCATAACGCCGCCCAAATTTTCACGCAAAGAAAGAAGTCGTAACTTTTATTCTCGCTGTAGTATTGTTGTTGCCGCCGCCATGTCGTGAAGGCACTGTGTGATTCGTTGTGTAGCGTCTGGACCAATCAGGCACACCATTTTTCATTTGATTTAACAAATCAATTATTCATTAGATTAACAAACATTCACAGACCCCTCACCCAATAAACATACTGGGTGCCAAGATGTCTGTGAACGAGGCCCAGGACCCTGGTCCCCATGGCAACCACGACACCTTTGCTAGACCAGATACATTTACGACCTAATAGCATGTTGAGAAGTAACTAGTTATGATTAATTATTCATATTTCCCCATGAGCTGATTCGCTACATTGTGAAAGCGAAACTACTTTGTTTGGCCTTCCAAAAGAGGACGATATCTGCTTCGTCATGCCTGGACCTGATCCGTGCTGGTTGCTGAGGAAATACTACAACTTTGCAATGTGGATCGCCGGATCGGCTTTCACCGTGGACGAAGCGGAGTCCACCCCGGGGTCGTCACATGTGGTTACCGCAAGCCCACCGGAAGCTCCTTCGTCGAATCCGCCACCTCTGCTCACGCTAGCCCCCGGCTTCTGCTCACTCTAGGCCGCCGCCGTGTGTGACGCTGTGTTTCATTGTGAAAGCGAAACTACTTTGTTTGGCCTTCCAAAAATGGACATGACTAGAAATCAGTGGTTAAGTTGTATTTACAACACTGTTCCAGAACACTTCAACCCAAATATTCAGATGTGTGCAGCACATTTTATGGAGGACCATTTCCTGATCCTGGGAGAGTAGACTACAATGCCGGCTGTTCCGACTCAAAGACTGTAAGTACGTTTTTTATATTTAAAGAGTTTTTATATTTTATATATTTAAAGCGAGTTTTTTGGGCAGTGTAGAGTAGGGCTTGTTGTTTGTCATTTCTCCGATCACAAATGCAGACATGGTTTTATGTTTACACGGCGCGATGCAACGCAACGCGTAAAAAGACAGTATAAGTCATTATAATTTATAATTATGTCCCCACTGGATGCAACAAATGCCTTGTTTATAATGGGTTTTCATGTTTTTGAATCATCGCCCCGGCCTGACAGGGCATCATCACAATATGTTAAGGGGCGTAACATTTCCGTCACACGCTTGAGGTATTCGGCCAATCACAACGCATTGGATAGTTGGCCAATCACAGCACACCTTGCTTTTTTAGGACGATGAGCTTTGTAAAAATCAACGTGTTTCAGAAAGGCGGGGCATAGAGGAGAAACAATAATGTACAGTATGTGGAAAATAATGTGTTTTTTTAACCTTAAACTGCATAAACACATTTCATTACACCAAATACACAAAATAATGTTCTTTTTAGCAACATCATATGACCCCTTCTAGTGTTCTCTCTTAAACCAAACCATGAGTATTTATGAATCCTAGCATAGAGTTCATTGAGGACAAGTCTGTTTTCTCAACCCCTCATCTGTGTTTTTCCCAGATGCTGTCGTTATTGCCAACACGGACTCTCAGGCTGTTGGAATTTGTGGGCTTTTCTGGTAACAAAGTGAGTATTGTGTAGTACTATGCTTAGTTTGGCTCTGCTCACGTTTGCTGTGTACAAATGAAATTTCCTCTGAGCTTGGCTATTTTTTCTTTCTGTCTGTCTTCTCAATAAAGTGTGTCAAGGTGCATGCCGATGTTTTTTTATACTTGTCTGAATGTAGCGAAGCACAGAAGTGTGAATGATTTCCTGTGTGTTGTGTCTGTCTTAAAGGAATAGTTCACCCAAAAATAAAAATGTACTGAAAATTTACGCACCCTCAGGCCATCTAAGATGTAGATGAGACGGGATTGTTTCTTCCTGTCAAATTCCTTGTGTGTGTAAACATTGGTAATAAAGCTCTTTCTGACTTCTTTATCAGAACAGACTTGGAGAAATTTAGCATTACATCACTTGCACACCAATGGATCCTTTTCAGTGAATGGGTGCCATCAGAATGAGAGTTCAGACAGCTGATGGCCATTCACTGCAGAGGACCCATTGATTGGTTAGCAAGTGATGTAATGAAGCAAAGTCATCGATATCTTGGATGGCCGGAGGTAAATCAGCAAATTTGCAATTTTGAGTGAACTATTCCTTTTGGCATGTTCTACAGTTACATTATTCTACAACTAACACTGTGTATATATCTTTGTGTTTTAGGAGTTTGGTCTTGAGCAGCTCCAGGAGGGCTCCGCTGAGCACACGTTTAGGTCTTTCCTGTGTAACATGTTGTTGCTTTGCTATCACACCTTCATGAGCTTCATTTTAGGTAAGAGAAAATTTCTTCTGAATCACATTTTCAGTTCATACTGTATGTAGCACATGAGAAGTAACATTGTGTTATTTGGTATCTCATTGCATGTATGTGTGTGTTCTTTAGGCACTGGAGAGGGAGATGTAGAAGATGCAGAAAAGCTTCTGCAGCCTTATCTGAAAAAGTATCCAAAGGTACTTGACCACCAATTTCGAGTTTCCAGTGATAAATCCCAAAACACTCACATTCTCTTTTACATTAGGATATGAACAGCTACTGCAATAGCTGTTTACACAAAATAATGTTCTTTTTAGCAGCATCATATGACCCCTTTAAATATTAACACTGTGAAAGACGTACAGAGCTAAATTCCTGCTAACTGAATGGTTGATTTGACTGTGAGAGCAGTAGAGTGAGTCATTTCTTATAGCTCCCAAGCCTGTTGAGGGAACTAGGGTTGTGACGAAATTTTCCTACCGGTTAATCGACGTGTGACGGGGCGTTCCCTCTTTTCCTCGCTTTCCTTCGCTTTTAAATAGCTTGTAAAAGCAGCGTGCGCATTTTACTTTCGCTTTGAAATAGCGGCAAATCGACATAAAGCAATTGTTAGTTTTTAGTTCGTTTGAATTTTCCCTCTTTTCCTCGCTTTCCATCGCTTTTAAATAGCTTAAAAGCGCCGTGCGCATTTTACTTTCACTTTTGAATTAGCGGCAGTTAGGCGTCAATTGCTTGAATGCAACAACAAAATACAATGTCAAACTCACTTTAGCGTATATATAAAACATAGAACTTTTATTAACAAAACAAATAAAAATACACCACGCTATAGGGCATGCTATGCCTAATATAAAATAACAAATAACTTACATAAAGTTTAAATAGGTATACAAAACTGGAAATAGGCTAAGTAATCATATATAATATATAACTAAATAAATAAGAAACGTAGGACGTTTATTAGCGAAACGAGTAAGAAAGCTTGGAGGCACACCTTGATGTCAAATAAAATAAATAAAAGTTTAAACACAAAGTTTAAATAAAGTAAAAATCAACAAACAATGTGGAGCCAATTAAATAAGAAACGAATGTTTAAAAAAAAACTTCCAAAATCAACTTAGATAAACGGCAAAAGTCAACAGGCTTTTCAAATTCCAAAATATTGCCAAACAGGTGCTTTTGCATCTCGTTTCGAAACTAAATCATCCGCGATCGTCTTGTCTGTCTCATCTCACCTCACTCTCGTCAGTCAGCTCGACTCACTCTCCTCACTGGAGAAATTAAATCTGATCTGTGATGCGACTGTCGTTCGGCACGTTGCATTGAGCAGCCGCATTCAGTTTTTAATTGTATTGTCTGTTCTTTTACTGAACTAAATTATTTTTATTTCTATAAAAAAAATCAAAAAGACGGTGGGGGTCGGTGCCGCGGTGGGCAAGTGATGTAACCGGTGTTGCAGCTTAACACCGTCTATCGCGGCAAGCCTAGAGGAAACAAAACACAAGCCAAGCCACAAACCTAACCGAACTAATGGGTTAGATCCTGTGATGTCACACTCCAATGCCATGCCACCAGCAGGACCTTTGCCCCGGAGAAGCTGGGATTATAGAGCAGCGAGGACGTCACTTCAGAGTCCAAGTGTAATGTTGCCATGCTTTTGTTGGTTTATAGAAAACCCTGAGCTAACCCACAGACAAAGCAGTGCAACACAGGGAACGTTAACACAAAAGTAACTCAATCAGGAGCAAGAATCTTCACAGAGAGAATGCTTAAAATCAGATCTCGGAGATATCCATTCAACACTTATGTTTGCAGCCTCACTTTAAAATTATTGATTGTGTTAGGTTGCTCTCAGCAGCATGACTGCTGACAAACAAAGCTGAGGTGTTGACATGGGGGGATAGAGGTGGGGGGGGGAGCACCTGCATGCCAGTCTTGCAGTAATCCTACTTAATAGTCACGGAGCATTTTTGATTTAGTTACGAGCCGAATGAGAAGCCAAACACTAATACTAATTAAGGCACTAGATTAATTAAAAGCCCCGGCAAGGACACAAAACACAAAAAACAAAACAAAAAAACAAAACCAAAAGGGCCCATTTGTTATGTCTAAAAGCAGTTTTGGCCCTTGATGCACAGATATATCTACTGTTGCACAGTATAAATATAGTCATACCAGCCAACCCTTACTCACATTATTGCTCGAAGTTGTCATATCTGACTTTCTAACCAAACAAAGCACTAGTTTGAAAGTGCCACAAGGGAAATTAACTAACAAATGGCTTATCTCTGTACATGAAACTGGTATTGGGGAAAGTATTTTAGCATAGAAAACACAAACACATACCATTCAAACCATTAACAAATAAAAGTAAGCTTGCATGATGGCTTATTTACCTGCTAAGACTATTCTAGTTGCAAACTTTTGTTTCCGACCAAACAATGAAAGAAATGGTGAAAAATAAAAAAAAGTTAAAGTTGAGCCTTGCCTTAAAGTGTTTTGCTTCATACTTTGATCAATAAGAGTGAATAAAAAAAAATTGTATGTATGAGAGAAAAATGTCTTGTGACTTGATTTTATTAGAGTATAGATAATAATTCAAGGCAACTACAACTGCTAATGAACCTGTTTAAAGCATATGCCTCCATATTTCTCAGGTGTCATTGTGCAGCTCACTGGGTTCATAGCATCAGTGTGTTTGGGTTCAACATTGACTCATAAACTGTAATGAAATACAGGTCTGTGTCTGTAATCCATCAGTTCTGGAAGGGCATTTTCAAATCTAAACATTTGTGTCTAAGTGTGATTCACACTTGCTTCAAGACAATCCAGGTTTTTTTCTTTCCACCCACTCTGCTATCTAACTCCTGAGTAGATGGCGTAATGGCTAAGGATGAGCATTGGCCAAGGAGCTATCACGAGTCTGGCTGTACTCCCCAAATTTATGGCAATTAACCTTTAACCTTTTATTAAGTAAAAATGATAAATCATTTCCCTCATACAGCTGGAATAGTCCAACAACCTCCTGCTACATCCACCAGTCAGAGCAGCATCCGCTGCGGTACACAAAATAGCTCGTAAAACCAGTCAATCCCTCAGGAATACCAACATAAACACTCTCACTCTGCTGGGCAGCCTGCCATGTTGTGGTCTAAGAGCTACTGGCCTTTCTGTTTGCCCAAGCAGGTGAGGTGTGCTATATACCAGATCAGAGTCCACAACCACAGCCTAAACACTTCAAAAAGAAGATAGCTGCTATTTATTTTCCACATGATGTCAGTAGCAATTCATGCCAAGCAGAAGAGATTTTATTGTAGGTAAGACTTCTACAAATGTTATGTTTATATTTGTCCCAATCAACTGGCTTCTTCCCACTTAGTTCCTACTTAACACATCCATTTAAATCTACTACTCAGACCTTCCTATTATAGCGCAACCCATTGCTTTTTTATATACACATACGTTGTCTCGAAAATTAAAAATAAAGTACAACCCAAAAGAGACAGCATTTAACATGGCTATTTGGAAATTTGGATTTCTGAGACAACGCCTTTTAAGACATGAGTAAAATGGGTGAGTAAAAAATGGGCCATTTATTTTCCAGAGGGTGGAAAATGGTCACATAAAACTAAATTACAAATATTGTTGGTGCAAGAACATTATAAGAGGTTATAAGAGGACCTTAAGGGAAAACTAAAATAATAAAACGTCTTTGTGATACTACCGGATTCATTTTTCCACTCAGCAGAAATATAAAACTGTACAAATGCAGCACGTCCTCTACAGTGAAAGATGAGCGAGAACAATCAAAACTGCCATGGTGCTGGAAATTAAACCTTTGTTGAAGGAACTAAAACCAAGGAAAAGTACATAATGAAAAAAAGACAGAACTTATGCAAACAAATACGACTTCAGCCAGTTCCTCTACTTTCTACTCTCTCTTTCTTCACTTATCCAGACACAAAATTGAAAAGAAGGGAAACAAATGTTTTACTCTGATGGCTTGGACAATGCTTAATCATCTCCAGCAGACCTGAGAACGTAATCCTCTAATCCTCAATCTAATCCTCTCTGCTTCAACTTCCCAACGAGATGTGACTTATCGATGTTTGCGTGTGTCCGTGCTTAGTGTGTAATGCCTACTGTACATGTGCACACAGCCAGAAACACAAATGTCCCATTAGTCAGTTTGCAGCCTGTGTGCTGATGTCTTCCAGATGTGCTCAAGGTATCCAGGGTCTGCTGAATGAAAGAGTGGATGTTTGTGCACTAACTCCATGGGAACGACAGGATGATGTTCTCATACGCTGGGGCTGTGCCAGAGTGTCGGCCCGACTAGCCTGGGATGGCCTTGAGAAGTCATTCAAGAAAAGCTAGCATTAATGTGATATGTGAGAAACAGCGAGGTGAAACTGTACTTGAAAGTGGCAATGTCTTTGACAGCTGTGCTGTACAACATACACTATTGTTCAAAAGTTTGGGGTCAGTAAGTATTTTTTTGAGAATAAACTAAAGATTAATAGTCAGCAGACCTGGGTAGATTACTAAGAGTCCGTTACTTGTAGTCCGCTACTGATTCAAATTACATGAAAAAATTGTAGTTAGTACAATTAACGTAATCCATTACATTACACATTTTAGGTAATGTAATCAGACTACTTTTTGATTACTTTTAGATTAAGTTGTTTATCACATTGATTTTAATAGGATATTTCTTGTACCATATTAATATAAAAATACAGGGTAAGAATTTCTTCAAGGTTACCAAACTGGAGTTTGTAAATGAAATGATTACGGATACACGCTTTGGGCTCACTCCTAATCAATAAAAAAGTAACTGTAGTCTGATTACGAGTATTTTAAAATGTAATTTAATCAAACTACAAGTACATAATTTTTGGAATCTGATTATGTAATCCAGATTACATGTAATCAGTTACTAACCAGCTCTGATAGTCAGCAAGGATAAAGACTTTTATATTACTACAAACAATTTCAATTAGTTTTTTTTATTCCAAATAAATAGTTATTTTTTCTATTCATAAAAGAATAGAAAAAAAAATGTTCACAAAAATATTAAGCAGCACCCATTTCTAACATTGATAATAATAATAAATGTTTCTTGAATACCAAATCAGCATATTATAACCATTTAAATTATTTTAATTGTTTCCAACAATATTTTTACTGTATTTTGATTAAATAAATGCAGCCTTTTTGGGCATAAGAGACTTACTTCTTACCGACCCCAAAAGGTAGTGTACATAAAACTATTACAATAAACCCCTCAATAAGAAAAATTATTTACTTGCTTATCTTTTTTTTCTGTAGTTCATTTGACTGTTAAAGTCACGGAGTCACTCTGGACACTTTGTACTGGAGTAATTTGGCACAGTTAGTCTTCTGTGGGAAACAGTAAGTCTTCAAAAATTCCCCTTACAGTTTCTGGTTTCATAATTTCACAACATGATGCTTGCATGCAATTATGTTAAATGCAACCACTGAATGTGAAAACATCTGGAGTATTACTGATAAGTTTTCTCACTTCTATCTACTGTTCCCATTTTCACAAAATGTATATGGTTACACCCACAGCTTTTATGCATCTGTTACTTCACTTCCTAGTGATAAATGTGCAGTTATTATATTAGCATGGCACACAAAATAATCAATAATGCTCTCTCAAGAGGCCATGTAGCTAATGAAAATATATTATTTTAAGTGTAGTTGGAAGAAAATGTGTTTTATAATTGAATGATTAAGTTCAATGCAGCTCAAGAATTCACTCTATGGTATATTTGACTTTTGTGTTCTATGTTGTTTCTCACACAATTTAGCTCTAAATTCCTTTTCTGAATAAAACTGGTTGTCAACAAATGCCAACTGTACAAAAATCTGTCAACCATGACTGCATCGCCCAGGGCTTCACCTCTGAACTGTGAAAGAACTCTCATCAGAGCTTAAACTGCCAGGCACATGAGTAATGGTGCAGCAGTGCTTCTGCCAGGTAATGTAATTGTGTGTTACAAAGTGTAACATGACTCTGCCAGTTCTCCAGTTGAACCCCACCACCCTTTAACTTTCAAAGCCAAGACAAACCAATAACGCTGCGTGCAATGGAGAAGTGAGAAGACAGACATTGAGCCAAGACCTGAATGTGAACTGTGAAAGATCGGAATTCGGAATTATTCAAAACAAAACCAGGCTTATTATCAGGCCACTGCCTCGTAACGCAGGCCAAGTTTCTTTGGACCAGTTCTCTATGAGAGGAGGTCTTGAATGATGGAAGTTTATGAAACCTTTACTGATTATTACATAAATGTGCGTTTGTCTCACAAAACTTCACAGAACAACCAAACAAAAGGAAAAATGTTTGTAAGTGTTTTCTTGCCATACTAAGTAAAAGTACACAGATGGTGTAAATCTGTTTCAGAGCTGTTAAAAATAATTATAATCCATTAAAGTAGCCAAAGCTGACAATTTATACTGCATGAGCCAGCGTAAAAGCATAAAACTGTAATTTTTTAAAAGAATTTCTCATATTTATAATAAAATATATTTCCATATTCCTACATGTTCAGTGTGTTAAATTAAAGCTGCTTACTGTTTCAAAGAAAAAGGATTACTCTTCTGAGACAAGTCCTGACAGATGAGGAAATTAAAGATGAGAATAGCGATTGAGAATGTTGTATCAAGACACAAAAGTCAGATTTAGAATAAGAGTCCTTCCAAATAGACTTAACATGCCCAAGCAATAAGCCAAAGCTTTATTGCACATGTGTATGTCTGTAAGACCTGATTAAAGGAGATGATTACATAGAAACAAATTCAAGATGTCTCTGTAGGCCCGAGATCTGTGGTAATACCATGCACAGGCACTGAG